ATAACATAAACTTAAACAATAATTATAGTGCGAGCCAGAAGTAATTCAGACTTAACCTATAATTATAATCTAATCTAGATGGAACTCAGACTTATAATTATAGTGTAAACCAGACTAAGACTTAACCTATAATTACAGTGTAATTCAGAAGTAACCCAGACGTAACCTATAATTGTAGTGTGTGACAGAAGTAACTCAAACTTAATCTATAATTATAATTTAATATAAATTGAATTCAGACTTAAACTATAATTATACTGTAAGCCAGGCGTATATATATAACCCTGACTTAATCTATAATTCTAGTGTAAACCAGAAGTAACTTAGACTAAAACTATAATTATAATTTAATCTAGATATCACCCAGAGTTAACCTATAATTATAGTATGTGGTAGAAGTAACTCAAACTTAATCTATAATTATAATTTAATGTAAATTGAATTCAGACTTAAACTATAATTATACTGTAAGCTAGGCATATATATATATAAACACCTGACTTAATCTATAATTATAGTGTAAACCAGAAGTAACTTAGACTTAACCTATAAGCATAGTGTAATCCAGAAGTAATAACCTTGACATAACCTAATCCAGGCTAACGGGAATATATGAGCGTGTATCGAAGAATTGAAAGGGTCGATATTGGTAGATAATAACTATGATTTAGCGTTGAACGTATGTACACGTGAAATGCGATAATTGCTGACGGACACGCGGGCATCTCGCGGCAGAGTTGCAGAATAGGTCGGGGCAACCTTGAACGATCATTAACCGTCGAAAAGTTTTGAAAACCGCGTGCCGATTCCCAGTAAAACGGTGTCGCGTGACCAATCTCCCGTTGATCCGAGGCTAATATTTTTAGAAACAGCCATTCGGTCACTTAGTTGGCCGTTCGCGGCCGAGCAAAGTTTGTTGACTCAACAAGCATAACTTCGGTTCCTACCAATTCCGCCAAGCGACTTCGGAACTCTCGCGGCCGTCAACAGTGGTTTACAGCTACAAACGTCGGTCCATACAAGATACATTCGATCCCAGTCAATAAAATCCGTCCGCCCGAAACATCCGGCCAACGAGAATTCTTCGGGGCAACTATTGCAAAATAAATGCGCGGGATTTACGAGATTTGGCCGGCAAACCTCGCCGGATCATCCGCCGCAAATTCCACTAGGATTAGAACAACAAACGTACGGTGTTTCGCCTATTTTCGCGAAGTTGGCTTCTTGTTGCCAAGAGCAGTGCGAAAGCATGGGTACGCATAATTGCACTGTGATCTAATTTTATTTAGGAAATAATCTAATTCTCGGAATCTACTTCTCCACCCAACGGCATTCCTGGGTCAAAAATAAGCGAACAGTATGCTTAACCTTTTGCACTTGACTGTAGCGTCTTTTGCGCGATTCCTGAGGTCATTTGAAGTAACTTTTTCCTTAACGAAAGTGTTCCACAAGGCTTTGTTCACGAGTTATCGACGAAAAATAGTGGACCAATGAG